GGGACATCAGGAGGAGGGGCTGTACTGTATATATATGTGAAGCCTGTGTGGAGAAGTTAGAAGAAGCAGCAGCAGGCAAAAAATTGTTCAATTTCAGTCTCCTCAGCAATGGAGGTTGGTGCATAAACTTGGATTATTGTGATGTTGAAAGGTCTGCCTTGGATTCGTATTGACATCATTCTATCATTTTTGAGATTGTATCCCATTACAGCTTTACCCATTCTTTTGTTGACTATGAGGGCTACTCCATTCTTTCTATGGGATTCTTTCCCACAATAGTAGACATGATAATCATCTGAGTTGAATTCACCCATTCCTGTCCATTTTAGTTCACTGACGCCCAGGATGTCAATGTTTATTCTTGCCATCTCCTGTTTGACCATCTCCAGCTTCCCAAGGTTCATAGATCTTACATTCCAGGTTCCTATGCAGTATTCTTCTTTGCAGCATTGGACTTTCCTTTCACTTCCAGGCACGTCCACAGCTGAGGGTCCTTTCGGCTTTGGCCCAACTACTTCATTAGCTCTGGAGCTACTTGTACTTGTCTTCCACTCTTCCTCAGTAGCATGTTGGACGCCTTCCGACCTGAGGGTCCCATCTTCCAGCGTCATATCTTTTAGCCTTTTGTTTCTGATCATGGGGTTTTCTTGGCAAAGATAGTGGAGTGGAATTGCCGGTTCCTACTCCAGGTGGATTGCGTTTAGTTGGAACTCTCCACTATGACCTGTCCGTCTTGGGTGGCCCTGTACGGCATAGCCCATAGCTTCTCTGAGTTGCTCAAGCCCCTTTGCCACAACAAGGCAGCAATCCATGAAGGGTTAGATTTATATACCGCCCACCTAGAATGTGTCTACTCTGGGCTGTTTACATATAACATAAAAATAAACTAAGGTACTAATAGGTTTATCAGCGCTGCTTTTCTGGCTGTGAATTTTACTCTCTTTTTTAGTATTGGTATCACCATCCTTCTCATATTTGTAGTCATTTAAACAGAGTAAAAAAAAAATAAGATTTAGACTACATTCTTCTTCTGAAAAAATGTCAAAAAATCTAAAACTATTACCATTCTTACATATACTACGAGGTCAGTCCTACATATTTTGGGATAATTCTTAGTAAGTGAAAATTGGGAACATTACTTGTTTTAAAACAAATTAAAAAGTTAAATAAAAAAATATCCAGCACTATCATACAAAATCTCACCATCAAAATTTCTGCTCAAACAGAAATCATAGAATCACAGAAAAGTGAAGTTGGAAGGGGCCTACAAGGCCATCAAGTCCAACCCCCTGCTCAGTGCAGGAATACGATCAAAGCACATCTGCCAGGTGGTTATGTACGTTTTTCTTGAATGCCTCCAGTGTTGAAGCACTCACCAGCTCCAGAGGTAACTGGTTCCACTATCACACAGCTGTAAAATTTTATAAACAGATACAACAACAAAAAATATATATACAAAAATACAAATAATAGTGCTTGCTATACACTAAATTCTACCTTGCACACCATACCCACGGAACCCATTGTACAATATTTTTATTACAAATTTCCTTTCCAAAATTGAATAGATTGTTGTTTAGAGCAGAAGTCCTCAACCTTTTTTGGTCCGCGGCTCGTTTTGGGGGTGCAAGGTCAGTGCACTGACTGGTTGGGGGGTGGGGCACCCCCACACTCACAGATGGGTGTGTCATGCTTGCTCGTGCTAATATTTGGTGTAACAATGTGCTACTAACTGTTCTCCCAGTGCCCCGTGCAGGAGAGCAGCGGCCCTTTCCTGCTGTGGGGCAGCCCGCCTGGGAAGTACCAATGGCTAGCCACTGGGCAGGAGCACCGGCGTGTGCACCCCTGCTGCTTCCTGGCTGGCCAACACTTCCTGCGAATGGAAAAGGAAAGCGAGTGCCGGTATCTGTTGTGGAGTGCTTCGCTTTGGAGAAGCTCACACCTGGGGCGGGGCAGAGGGCTTGGGAGACGCCTTGCAACGCTATGGCACCAGACTAAGGTCACCAGAAATTTTATTTATTTATTTATTTATTTATTTATTTATTTATTTATTTATTTATTTATTTATTTATTTATTTATTGTCATTGCAAGTATATACACAGTATACCTATACAATGAAATTCACAGACACCCAGAGACCAGACACATGCACACACATAAAATTCCCCAAACACTCCCCACCCACTAAAAGTCCCCCACTAAAAATACAAACATCTACACCGCAGGCCAAGTAACACAGTCCAACTAATTATTCACTACTGGTGGTCTTTAAGCTCATTGTTAAGTGCAATTATAGCTCTGGGATAAAAACTATTCAGAAAATGTGTGGTCCGAGTCTTAATTGTTCTATATCTTCTGCCAGACGGCAACAGTTCTAAAAAGTTATAAGCAGGATGGGAAGAGTCTCTCAGGATGCTGTGTGACTTCCTCGGACAGCGGGATGTGAAGATGTCATCCAGGGTTGGTAGCTGGAGCCTGATGGTATTCTGGGCAATTTTAATGGTTCTCTGTAGAGCTTTTTTTGTCTGCTACAGAGCTACTCCCATACCATGCCAGAATGCCATAGGTTAGGACACTCTCAATGGTGCTATGATAGTATGACAGAAGTAAATGCTGAGATAAATTTAACTTGCTGAGCATTCTCAGGAAATACAGCCTCTTCTGTGCCTTCTTCACTAGCATGTTGGCATTTAAATTTAAAACTACCAACTCTCTCCACTTCCTCACCATTTATGTACAGTGGTAAATGGGGAGAGTATTGTGATCCCACTAGACAGAAACCTCACTGTCAAACAAGTGCCACCCATTTCAATATGTCTGGCTTCCCACCTGTGCTTGCTTACTTGGGAGTAAGTGCAATGCATCAGTGTGTCTCAGTCCTAAACTTTCCAGAATACTTGGCTAAGTTTACTCAAAAGTAAGATGCAACAAGTTCCACCAGGGTCACTCCCACTCTGAAGAACTCCAACTACACCGCTTGAAGAA